GATATACCCAGGCACCAGGGCCTGTTTGCACAAGGTCATTGAAAGTCATGAATACTCATGATTTAAGAAAAGTTGATTCGATGGCAGACTGAGCAATGACCTGTTTAGTATTCTTTTCAATCTTTTTGTTATTAAAACTTTTTTCTCACTACTATTACTATTTTTAAGACATGGTCTTACCATAGCCTAGGCTAGCCCTAGACTCACAGCAGTCTTCCTGAGTGCTGGGTTTGCAGACATGAACCACTATGCCCGGCTTCAGGTTAGTATTCTATAAGCCCAGCATTTTGTATATTTTGATTCTGGTTGGCACAGTGTCTACTTTCTAATATGTGAGCTTAGTCAGTCATTTGTGGGAGTTCCATTTGAAATTGATATATTTACAAAGATGACACAAACATAAACTCAGCAGTGTATACACATGCATGTTTCATTCATATTTATCAGTTTAAGATGTTCTAGTACTCCAGAGCTAACTACGAGCTTCAGGGCTGTAAGCCAGATGGCTAGAGATCGATCCCTAGAACCACATAAAGGGAGAAGGAGACAACTGACTTCCAGAAGTTGTCTTTTGACCTACACATGTGTGCTATTGTACAGTTGTGCTCACACAAACACAGATATACATCTAATAATAATAATAAGTAAATAAAAATTTTAAAGAAGTTTATTTTTTAATGACTCTAAGCATTGCAGTCATACCAGAAAGTCATACCAGAATGAACACATTTTACCCAAAGTCAGATTTTTTTGTGAAAGCAGAAACAAGTTCCATTATAGCTGTTTCTATTTTGGCACTTCAAATGTACTTATGCTGTAATTATGTGACTTCTAACTTATGGTCTTAAACTTTGGTTTGTGGTGTATGAGAATGGTCTATATTCTGTCAATTATATTTTAAATAAATGCTGATTGTCCGATATCCAGGCAGGAAGTATAGGTGGGACAACCTGACAGGAAGTAGAGGTGGGTCAATGAGAACAGGAGAATTCTGGGAAGGAGGAAGCCTATTCCCCCACAGTTGTGAGCCTGCCACAGAAGAAGCAAGATGTGACTGTGTTGCTGAAAAAGGTACCAATCCCTGTGGCTAACATATACTAGAACAATGGGCTAATATATGTTATAAGAGTTAATAAGGGTCTGATGGAGGAGCAGGAGTCCCTCTCTTGGAGCAAGCAGAGAGAAGTTTCTGTTCAGCAACAGGTAGCAGAGTTGGAAAAAATTAATGCAGAATTTTTACGTGTTCAGTAGCAGCTTGTGCAAGAATTTAATCAAAAGAGAACAAAATTTAAGAAGCTGTATTTGTCTAAAGAGGAGGCTCTGAAGAGACAAAATGCAGTATTGCAAGCTGCACAGGATGAGCTGGGTCACCCTTTGACATGGCTGTGGGAGGCTCAGGCAGAGGTAGAGAATATCAAGGCAATTGCCACAGTCTCTGAGAATACTAAACAAGAAGCTATCGAGGAAGTTTAAAGGCAGTGGAGAGAAGAGGTTGCTTCACTTCAGGCTGTAATGAAAGAGACAATTTGTGACTATGAGCATCAGTTTCTTCTGAGGCTGGAGCAGGAGCAAGCACAGTGGGCACAGTATTGAGAAAATGCAGAGCAGGAAACCGCTGATATGAGAAGGTTGTCTGAAGGTCAAGAGGAAGAAAATTTAGAAAATGAAATGAAAAAGGCCCAAGAAGATGCTGAGAAGATCCGCTCTGTCGTGATGCCCATGGAGAGGGAAATTGCAGCTCTAAAGATAAACTGACAGAAGCTGAAGAGAAGATTAAAGAGCTGGAGGCCTCAAGGGTTATCTGGAGACTGAGAAGTCTTGTAGGACTGATCTGGAGATGTATGTAGCTGTTTTGAACACTCAGAAATCTGTTCTACAGGAAGATGCTGAGAAATTGAGGAAAGAATTGCATGAAGTTTGCCATCTCTTGGAGCAAGAACGACAGCAGCACAATCAGTTAAAACATACATGGCAGAAGGCCAACGACCAGTTTCTGGAATCTTTGTTTGCTGATGAGAGACATGCAGTGAATGGAGATTGTGCTAACTTCTGAGCAGCTCCGACAAGTTGAAGAAATGAAGAAGATCAGGAGGATGAACAACAGAGGCTTAGTAAGAGAAATGATAACAAAAAACAGATGCTGAAGAAGAAGTAAAAGTACCAGTAGTGTGTGCTTTAGCTCACAAAGAATCTTCAGCAGCATTATCGTATGAAGAGAAGCATTAGACAGCACCCATGGGTCAGTCCGTTCCTTAGATGCAGACTTGCTGTTACCATCTGGAGATCCAGTCAGTAAAGCGGACAACGACATGTTTAAAGATGGACTCCAGAGAGCTCAGTCTACAGACAGCTTGGGAACATCAAGCTCATTGCAATCAAAAGCATTAGGCTGTAACTACAAAGCAAAGTCTGCTGGAAACTTGGATGAGTCGGATTCTGGACCACTGGTTGGAGCAGATTATGTGTCTGAGAACTTTGATACTGTGTCCCTTGGGTCACTGCAGATGCCAAGTGGATTTATGTTAACCAAAAGATCAAGAAAGAGCAATTAAGGCAATGACGTCTGAACAGGAGGAGACAGCATCCCTCCTCTCCAGCATCACCCAAGGTATGGAGAGTGCATATGTTTCTCCCAGTGGTTACCACTTAGTGAGTGAGACCGAACGGAATCTCCTGCAGAAAGGGGTACATAATGCTGGAAATAAGCTTGGTAGACATTGTGATATGTGTTCCAATTATGAAAAACAGTTACAAGGAATTCAGATTCAGGAAGCTGAAACAAAGGACCAGGTGAAAAAGCTGCAAGTCATGCTAAGGCAAGCCAGTGACCAGCTAGAGAAGACAATGAAGGAGAAACAAGAGGTAGAGGACTTTATCAAACAGAGCACCGAGGACTCAAGCCACCAGGTACCTGCACTTGTACTGGAAGAGTTACAACAGAGCTTTTCTCAAGCAAAGAGGGATGTTCAGGAACAGATGGCGGTGTTGATGCGGACACGTGAACAGGTTCCGGAAGAGCTGGTGAGGTTACAGAAAGACAATGACAGCCTCCAGGGGAAGCATAGCTTGCATGTGTCATTATAGCTAGCAGAAGACTTCATTCTCCTAGATACTGTGGAGGTGCTCCGGGAATTGGTGTTCAAATACCGTGAGAACATCGTGTGCGGACAGCAGCAGACCACATGCAGGAGAAGCTGAAGGCCGAAATACTGTTCCTAAAAGAACAGATCCAAGCAGAGCAGTGTTTAAAAGAAAACCTTGAAGAGACTCTACAGCTGGAAATAGAGAACTGCAAGGAGGAAATGGCTTCCATTTCTAGTCTAAAAGCTGAATTATAAAGAATAAAGGTTGAAAAGGGACAGTTGGAGTCTACATTAAGAGAGAAGTCCCAACAACTTGAGAGGAAATCAGCATAACAGAGATAATACTAAATGGAAATAGCATGCCTGGTGAAGGGGGACACACTTGTACACCCAGCACTCAAAGGCGAGGTCGGAGGATTGCTAAAGGTTTGAAGATAGCCTGTTCTACATAGAATGTTCCAGACTAGCTAGGGCTACATAGGGGAGATCGTGTCGATGAATAAATAAATGCATGTAGCAGACATAGTTATAGTTAAGAGAAAATGGGCTAGAGATGAAGCTCAGTTGGTAGCTCTCTGTAGCCCAGGATGGGTTTGAACTCGTAGATCCCCCTGCCTCTGTCTCCAGAGTGCTGGGACTAAAGGCCAGCATGGTCCATCCATGCTCTCTTTAATCAGATCTCTAGCCCAGTTCTCTTATGACAGAAGCACTGAGGCTTCGCAGGAAGCTGTTTCCAACCTGTTAATGAGGAAAAGGAGAGAAAGGGAAATAATAGGTACTCCTGTAGCTGTGGGCCCATGGAGCTTGATGTGGACTCAAAGGGATCTTCTGTCTCAACAACAACCAAAACTAGTCATCTAAACAAAACCTCACACCATCTTGTGAATGGCAAGTTGCTGGCCACAGGGGTGGTTTCTGTTGGGAAGGATCCTGTGCAGTGGAAATGACATCGCAGTGCCCTGTGTGCTTTACAGGGTCACAGTGGGAAGTTACTCACTCATTTTTCCTTTTATTTTTTGTGCAGTCCTTTCTTTCTTGCTTGCTTGCTTCCTTTCTTCCTTTCTGTTTTTTCATTTCCTTTCCTTTTCTCTTTCTTTCTTTCTTCTTTTTTCTTTTTTTTCTTATTTTTTTTTTGAAACAAGGTGAATCCCAAGTTGGCAATGCATAAACTCACAGATATGTGCCTGCCTCTGCCTCCCAAGTGCTGGGATTAAAGGCTTGTACCACCATGCCTGGCTCACCTTTCCATTAGCCAGAATTAAAATATTTTTGCCTTTTCTTCAAATCTGACACATTAGATTTTGATGAAGATATGTTACCTTTTTTTCTTTTCTTTTCTTTTCTTTTTTTTTCATTTTTCAAGACAGGGTTTCTCTGTGTAGCTTTGGTGCCTGTCCTGTAAATAGCTCTTGTAGACCAGGCTGACCTCAAACTCACAAAGATCCGCCTGCCTCTGCCTCCCAAGTGCTGGGATTAAAGGAATGTGCCACCACTGCCTGGCATTTTTTTAAATGTGAGACTGAAGAGGTAGCTCAGTGTTTACCAGTGCTTGCTGCTGTTTCAGAGAATTAGAGTTCATTTCTAAGTACCCTGGTCAGGTGGCTCAGAACTATCCATGATGGCAGCTCCAAGGAATCCAACGTCCTCTTCGGCCATTACTGCCACCTGCAGGCACATGTGCATGCATTCACATAGATATACACACAAATAAATAATAAACAAATAGCCTATTTTTGTTTTTTAGTATTAGATAGGGTCTCCTGTATCCCCAACTGCCTTCTGATTCTCCACCTCTCACGTGCTAGGATTCCACCCACACACCCCCATACCTGGTGTGTGCAGTATTAGGGACTGAACCAAGGGCTTTATGTGTGTTAGGCAAGCACTCTACCACATAAGCCACATCCCAAGCCCAAAATGACTTTAAAGATTGTTCCTTCAGCTTTCTCTGGACAACTCTATTCCTTTGCCCTCTGCTCCTGTGCTGAGGCCTCCCTGGGGATCCTGTGGATGTGGTATTCCCTGTACCGTTTGGGTGCCCTGGAGATCCCTGTGGATGTGATGCTCCCCGTACCCTTTGGCCTCCCTGGGGATCCCTGTGACCATGATGCTCACCGTGACCGTTTTCTCTGGCTCTGCAATGTCTACGCACTTCTTTTTATCTTCCTGGTGTCTTTAACGAAGCCACCAGGATTTGGACATGACAACCTGATCTAACGCTTACTGCCTCCTGAAGGCCATTTGAAGGACAGCTGTGGTTTGGAGGGAAGGGCCCTGGGAGAACAGCCTTCCAGACTCAGATCTCACAGAGCCTCCTTTTCTCGCTGTTGCAGTTGTAAACCTGGAGGTGCTCAGAGCCCAGGAAGAATGGGAGGTGGTGGACACCATCCATCCAGACACAGGTAAGTCCAGCACAGCCGTCATCAGGATCCCATGCGGTCAGCAGTGACCGGGCATAGACGTTTAGTCCATGCCTGGTCCCATTTTAGCTGTGTGACACAGAATAAAGTCCCTTCCACAGATCCTGAGAAGATAGCCTACTACATGAAGTAGGGAAGGAACGCCACAGCACAAGGCTGCCATTGCCACTAAGGGGAGAAGAGAGAGTCTTGGTCAGGGTTAGCCCCTGAAGGGGGCAGGGAAGGGGGCAGAGAATGAGGGACCCTGTAGCTGCCATCTGCTGGCAGTCTCTGAAGGCTGGGAAGAATTGCCTCAAGTCCTATACTGACAGGTTTAGATGGAGCTGTAGAAGGGTAGAGATTATCTGGGTCTCTCCCGAGCTTCACCAAGCCCAGGAGAAATGTCACACCTCTCTGTGTGTGACACCTGTGTTGCTGGTGACAAGTTGGTAGCCAGTGCTTGGTTTAGAGGTGACAACCAGTTGTCCATCAGTGGGTATTTGCTGTCAGGATAACTACTATCCCAAATCCTCAGGTGTCTTCTCTTTTTACCTAGAGAGTGGGATCAGCTCCCAGCAGCCTGGCCAGCTCATCTCCTTCAGCGAGGCTCTGCAGCACTTTCAGACCCTGGACCTCTCCTCCTTCAAGGTGGCTGTAGGGAAGTATTGGTGTCCAGCATGCAGCTGTTTTCTAAACTTTCTGGACACTGATCTTTTCTCACCTAAGAAATCTTGGGGTACAGGATCTCAAGTAGCAAAAGAATCAGATTTGGTGGCTTCCATCTATAATCCCAGCATTAGAGGAACTCAGGCAAGAGGGTTGTCTCATACTTAAGGCCAGCTACAGCATGTGCTCCAAGCTAAGCACCCATGGCTGACTAATAGATTATGTGTGTGCAGATTCTTTGTGGTGACCAGAAGCTGTTAGGTCCTCTGGAACAGGTGGTTGTGAGCCACCTTGTAAGAGGAGACTATTCATTTCTTCCCGGCTTCCCAGACCAAAAATAATCACAGAGAAACTGTATTACTTAAATCACTGCTTGGCCTATTAGCTCTATCTTCTTATTGGCTAACCTTACATCTTAAATTAACCCATTTCTATTAATCTGTGTATCGCCATGTGACTGTGGCTTACTGGCAAGTTTCCGGCATGTCTGTCTCCAGTGGGTGGCTACATGGCTTCTCATTGATTCCACCTACTCTCTCTATATATATATCTCTCTTCCAGCCTGTCTATGTTCTGTTAAGCCCCATTGACCAAAAGTAGCTTCTTTATTAACCAATAAAAGCAACACATATACAGAAGGGACTTCCCACACCATTTCCCCTTTTCTGTTTAAATAAAAAGGAAGGTTTTAACATAGTAAAATTACATATAACAAAACAGGTATAAAGCAAGAATTACAGTTACAATATTTATAACTTATTTATCTTTTATCATAGCTAAAGAAAGCTATAATTATAACTTCTATTCTTCAACTCCATCAAAGACTCCAGAAGGATATAATATTACCTAAGTTAACAGGAAGTGCATTGTAAGCAACTAGAATTGACAGAGACATCTTGCTACCTGGACAGTCACCCAAAATTCTTCTGTAACATTGGGACACCCATCTTCAGCCTACAGGACCATAGTGTCTGGCAGACTTTTCGGTGAAGCAGGAGATTTCAAAGACAGTTCCACCTACATTGGCAGTTTGTCAGTCACTTTTTTCTGTGTCCTCAGAATGTCTGGCAGTTCTTTAATGAAGCAGGAACCCTGAAGGATGGTCTCACCTTTAGGCAAGTTCAGCAGTCATTTTTCTGTGAGTCCTGCATGTCCAGTTTATACAGAAACCATCAAGCAGACCAGACAAGAGCAGGTTTTTGCCCAAATGGCTAGCAAACTCCATAAGGGGCCTCTTCAATGCCCATCATCCTCTTGAAGTAGATTGGTGCTGCCAGGAGCAGATGAATCTTATGTCATGAAAAGTCCTAAGTTCTTAAAACATTTTAAATGCCATATTCTGTAGTCTTTGAAAGATCTCAAGAATACCTATCCATCTGACATATAACTCTGTACATCTAGAAAACCTAACTAACATGACTACAAGCTTGACTATTATAGGTGACTCTCTATTAACCTATATTTCTTAATTATACATTACATTTTAAATGAGCTATACAAACACAATACCTTAATCAAGAGCATTTATAATATATATATATAACAAAATTGATCTTAAATTTGTATCAATAAACCAACTTCTATACAAATCTCTATAGCATATCCCCCTTTAAATGTAAACAAACATTTATAAACAATTATTTGGGAATTTGGGTATAGTTCTCTCCAAACTGCTTCCTACTTTTTGTTTGGCAAAGTAATTTTGGGGGGTGTTTACTGCAACCTTTTTGGGGGGTTTTGGTCCATAAAACCACATTAGTCTGGAAGGAGTCCACAGGTTCTCATCCTCTGTGGAAAAAAAGAACCTCTTTTTCAAAGCAACAAATCCTTAGACCCAAATTTTGAAGTCAAGATACCTTTTGTGTGTGTGTGTGTGTGTGTGTGTGTGTGTGTATTGGTTTAGCTTAGCAGCCCATACAATGAAATGTCTCTTTGTACTTAGCACCTTCACATTCAAAAATTCAAAGAAAACACAATAATACACATAATCCAGACTCTATCTATTTTATATTTACATGGCTTCACTTTTTTTACTCCTTTCGACCTATGACTGTCTGTACTGTGTCTCTTTAAATATTTTGTTTTGTTTTGTTTTTTATTTAGACAAAAAAGAAGAGGTGATGTGGGAGGTGATTATGCTATGAATATGTTTTATTGCCATTGGTTAATAAGGAAGCTGCTTCCGGCCAATGGCTTAACAGAGTAAAGCCAGGCTGAAAGATATATATAGAAAGAGTAGGCAGAGTCAGAGAGAAGCTATGTAGCCACCCGTAGGAGACAGATGCTCCAGAACCTTCCCAGTAAGCCACAGCCATGTGGTGATATACAGATTAATAGATTTTGGTTAATCTGAGATATAAGAATAAGCCAGAAATAAGCTTAAGGTATTGGCCAACAGTATTGCAATTAATATAGATTCTTTGTGATTATTTTGGGAATCTGGGCAGCCAGGAAACGAGCATGTAGCCTCCCTCAACACCACCTGATGTGATATTGGTGCTGGGAACCAAACCCAGGTCTTTTGGGAGAACAAGTGCTCTCATTAACCCATGAACCATCTTTGAAAACCATGTAGGGTCCTGCCAGCCTTTGTGGAACTGAACCTGAGGAGCTCTTGCAGCCCTGTGACTCAGAACATGTGCAGATGTCTCCTGGGTTTTCCTCCATGAGATGGGAAGTAGTGGAATCAAAGACCAGGTAGCTCCTTAGGAGGGAAGACAGACTGTCTAAGGAACAGGGTACTAATGATTCATGGCAAAGAAGGAATATTCCCTGTAGGAGCCAGGAGCTGTTTGGGAATTTCATTAAATTTATTTACTTTTGGAACAGTCTTGTTATGTAGCCCTGGCTAAATTGGTACTCACTATGTTGCCAGGGTTGGCAATGAACTCGAGGCAATCCTCTTTCCTCTCCTCTCAAGTATTGGCGTTAGAAGCATGCACCACCACACCCAATATGATCTAGAAATTTAGGAAAGATGCTGGGGGCTGGAGAGATAGATGGCTTAGCAGTTAAGAGCACTTGTTTTGGCAGAGGTCTCGGGTTTGATTCCCAAAACCTACATGTCAGCTCACAACCATCCATTACTTCAAGCCAGGGGATTTGATATCCTTTTCTGACCAACCCAGGCACCAGGAACCCACATGGTGCACAGACATTCATTTAGCAAAGCACTCATATACATAAAATATTTTTTTTTAAAAAATGTCAGTACTAAGTATGGTGGCATATATTTGTAATTCTAGCACTTAAGAGGCTGAGGCAGGAAACTATCATAAATTCAAGGCCAGCTTGAGCTACATAGAGAGAAACTTTGCCTTACAAAAGTTGTGTAACAGGTGGGCAGTGGTACCCAGCACTCAGCAGGCAGAGGCAGGCAGATCACTGAGTGTGAGGACTGCCTGTTCTACAGAGTGAGTTCCAAGACAGCCAGGGCTGTTACACACAGAAACCCTGTCTTGGGGGGAAAAAAAAGAAGGAAGGAAGGAAGGAAGGGAGGAAGAAAGGAAGGAAGAAAAAGTTGTGTGGGGCAATAAGAGGACTCAGTGGGTAAAGGCTCTTGCCTTACAAGCTGCATGGCCTGAGATTGATCTCCAGAACCCACTGAAAGGTGGGAAGAGACCTGATCTCCACACACGAGTCATGACATGTATGGCCCTCACACACATCATGAGTACATACACCGACACTAAAGTGGGGCTGGAAAAGAAGTATTAGGGGAATAAGCACACTAGGGGAATGTGGGCTTGAGTAGTCAGTCTGAAGCCTGGATCACTGGTACAGAAGGCCAGAAGATGCCAAACCCAGCACCTGGTAAGGCAGGCAGTGGTGCCCTGACTTTGGGGAGCCAGCATGATGTAGTTTAGAAGGAACATCTAACTCATATAGCCATATGAAGGGTAGACAGCCTTGCTGAGATTACTAGCTGGCTTTTACCTGGACATATGTGAGATTCCCTGTGGCCACAGCTAAGCCTCCCTGATTGTCAATAGCTAGTTCTGAAAAAGTCCAGAAGACCAAATGGAGAGAACTGCCTGGGATGTCTACACCTAAGGACACCTTGCCAAGGGTCTGGGAGCTGAAAGTGCCTGTCTCTGCAGTCTTAGTGACTTCTGACTCCTTTCTGGCCCAAACACTAGCTGAGGGGGCAGTCTCTGCTTGATAAAAGTTTTAATAGCTTGCCTGTGCTTTTCTTCCCAGAAAAGAATCCAGCCAACTATTCGAAGGACTGGGCTCGCCGCCCTCCGGCATTGCCTCTTTGGGCCACCAAAGCTGCACCAGGACCTTCGGGAAGAAAGAGACTTGGTCCTCACCATTGCTCAGTGTGAGTGCTAGGGGCAGCTCCAAGGCACACGGTGAGGCTTTTGCCTATTCAGATTGCCATGAACACAGGCATGTTGGTAGCTTGTCTTGAACTTAGTCCAATTCCCCATCCTCCAGGGAGCACTGGTTTCTCCCTGGGGACAGCCTAGCAGAAAGGGTATGTGTGTTTTGGAGCAGGTGGCCTGGACAGCCAAGACCCAATGCATGGCCGAGTGCTGCGGACCATCTACAAGAAGCTAACTGGCTCCAAGTTCGACTGTGCCCTTCATGGAGACCACTGGGAAGACCTGGGCTTTCAGGGTGAGAGAAAAGCGCCTGTCTTGCTTTCCTTGTCCGATTGATTCCGGATTCCAGAGGACAGGTCATCTTGAGTGAGGAGAAACATCTAGGAGGGTCCAGAAGAGGCAAGGGCCCTAGGGGCAGCACATAGGAATGTCCCTTGGAGCTCTCCCATCTGTTAGGAAATACCTTTGTGGTGTGAGATGGGGTATACGGAATATTATTTGAATCTGGTTGTGTTCTTTCCTCTTTTTAAATGAAAATGTATTCTAGCTATTTTAAATTGAAACAATTACTTCCCTTGCCTTTGAATTATACTTTTTTTTTTTTGAGACAGGTTATAGCCTAGCCTGATCTCAGAACTCTTGTGCTCAGACTATAGCTGAGCATGACCTTGGATTTTGATCCTTCTGCTTCCCCCTCCCTGGTTGGTAGTCCCACCAACCCCAGTTTATATAGAACTGAACATTTGGCCCAGGGCTTTTTTACATGTAAGATAAGCGGTCTGTTCACTGAGCTGCATCCACAGCTCTATACTGTTTTTTCCCCAAATCTCATCATTACATTTGTAAAGAATAAAAAACCATATTGTGCTGGGCAGTGGTGGTGCACGCCTTTGATCTCAGCACTCAGGAGGCAGAGGCAGGCAGATCTCTGTGGGTTTGAGGCCAACCTGGTCTATAGAGTGAGTTCCAGAACAGCCAAGGCTACATAGAGAAACCCTGTCTTGAATGCCCCCTCCCCAAAAAAAGAAGATACAGTTTAATACACCTACAACTTTCAGTACTGGAGAAATGGAGGCAGTGGATCAGAATTTTAAGGTCATGCTCAGGTACATAACAGGTTAGAGGCCAGCTTGGACTCCACGTGACCATGTCTCAGCCATAATAGAGTGACTCAGAACAAGCATGGCTCTGTTATCTTGTAGTTCTATGGCCAGTCTGATAGGACTCAGTGAGAGGACCCAGAGGTCAGCAGTGCTGACTTCATTGTGGGGGACCCAGGAGACAATCTCCTGGACCCCTCTCATGTGCACCGAGTCCACCCAGGTACCCCAAGACTCTTCCCTCTCTGCTGATAGCAGCCTTGATTTTGCTGGCATCTTCATCTCCTTTATCACGTAGTGTGTTCCTACATTCAGAGGTTTAAAGTATGGACATCTTTGGAAGCGGGGATTATTCTAATCCCTCAGGTACTTGGAGCATCTGCCTTACCTCAAATGTTGTTCAAGGTGAGATAGATTATCCTTGTTTTTGCTACAGTGTATGTTCAGTTGTCCCTGGGCACTCTGGGCAATGTGTTAAGGGTCTGGGCCTTGTCTATCCCGTCTCTTCTCACAGGCCTCCTCCACTACTGGGTCAGGGAGTAAGGACCGACATCACTCACTGGGTGAAAGCCCAAATATTGAGTTCATCTTCCACAAACACCACTAGCTGGGAGGACTCTGTTACTATTCTCCCGTGTCCCCTCCACTGAAGGGGTGTGGGGGGAGGGGCTCCTTACAGCGTAAAGGCTGAGCTCCTCACCTGGCTTTCTTTAATGCAGCTAAGGGTTCCTGGGTTCAGTCGGACAAGGGAAGAAACGTGAGCCCTCACTGGGGCTGCATGTATCTCCATAGTGTTTGGTTAGAGCAGGTTAGATCTGCCTTGCTAGCCGCCCCTCTCCCATCCCTTTGGCTAGAGAGAGTCAGCTTTTCTGGGGCCTTTTTTTTTCTGCTCTCAGTCTATTTTCTGTTGCTGTCACTAAATACTCAAGACTGGGTAATGTGTAGAAATTAGAAGCTGATGTGGCTCGAGGTTCTGATGACTGTGAAGTCTGACGAGCATGGCTTCAGAATGCCCTCGGTGGGGCCTTCTCACTGTGTCCTAACATGGTAGAGATACAGGAGAAAGGACAGGCCTGTGTCAGCTTTAGTCTTTCTTCCTCTTTTTGCCTTTCCGGTCTCTCTGTCGGCCTTGAACTTTCTCTGCAGACAAGGATGACCTTGAATGTCTCAGCCTCCTGCCTCTACCTCTCAGGTGCTGGGATAGCAGGCAGGTTGACAAACATGTCCAGTTTATACCTTGCTGGAGATGGAACCCAGGGTCCCGTGTATGGCAGGCAATCACTCTGCCTGCTAAGCTACACCCCAGCACCTGTCTTGGTGAAAACCTTGCTGGTAGTTGTGTGGGGAAATGACTACAGAAGGCTGTGGGAACAGAAGAGCGCTGCCAGGGCTGTCCCGAGTGCCGGAGGACGGGCTCCTTTGGTCCCGTAGAGCCCAGGGCTGTCCCGAGTGCCGGAGGACGGGCTCCTTTGGTCCCATAGAGCCCAGGGCTGTCCCGAGTGCCGGAGGACGGGCTCCTTTGGTCCCGTAGAGCCCAGGGCAGTCCAAAGTGCCGGAGGACAGGCTGCTTTGGTCCCGTAGAGCCCATCACGGGAAAGGGGCTGTGCAGGGTCAGTGCCAGGGCAGTTACCAAGCCGTGTCCTGGGAGCTCAAGGGATCCAGGGTCCACCCTCACTCACGGTCACACCCTGGTTTCTGCCACAGGAGCAAATCCAGCTACAGACCTGAGAGGGGCAGGCTTCCTTGCCCTCCTGCATCTGCTGTATCTGGTAATGGACTCAAAGACATTGCTGATGGCCCAGGAGATCTTCCGCCTGTCTCATCACCACATCCAGGTAGGATTCTGGGGGGAAGACAGAGGAGAAGGCTGGGGAATGAGAACCCGAGCAGCCAGGAAGACTGCGTAGTTCAGCATCAGGATGGTGGAGATGAGCCAGGAGTGGCTTCTCTGTCAGATGCTTTAGAATCTGAGCTCCACCATTCATTAGCTGGGAGTCTTTAGCAAATCATTCAGCCTCTCAGAGTGTTGATTTCCTCATCTGCTGTTGGAGGAGGGGGCAAGAGGCTGCTTATTGGTTTCTGGCCACCCAACTAGCTTAGACCCGAAATAATTACACAGAAACTGTATTAATTAAATCATTGCTTGGTCCATTAGTTTTAGCTTCTTATTGGCTAACTCTTATATTAATTTAACCCACTTCTAGTAATCTGTATATCGCCATATGGCTGTAGCTTACCAGGTAAAGTTTCCAGCATTTGTCTCTGGCAGTGGCTCCATGGCTTCTCTCTGACTCTGTCTTCCTTCTCCCAGCATAGTTCTGTTCTACCTTTGCCATAGGCTCCAAGCAGTTCTTTATTCATTAACCAATAAAAGCAACACATAGACAGAAGGACCCTCCACACTATTTCCCCTTTTCTGTTTAAACAAAAAGGAAGGCTTTAACATAGTAAAATTACATAAAACAAAACAGTTATCAAACAAGAATTACAGTTACAATATTTTTATTTACTTTGTCTTTTATCATAACTAAGAAAAACTATAACTACCTATCTATTCTTCAACTCCATCAAAGACTCCAGAAGGATATAATATTACCTAAGTAAACAGGAAGTGCATTGTAAGCAACTTCCAAAACTCTAGAATTGATAGAGACACCTTGCTACCTGGACAGTCACCCAAAGTTCTTCTGTACTGTTGGGGCATCCATCTTCAGCCTACAGGCCCATAGTATCTGACAGACTTTCCCATGAAGCAGGAAATTTTAAAGACAGTTCCACCTATATTAGCAGTTTGTCGGTAACTTTCTTCTGTGTCCTGCAGAACATCTGGCAGACTCTTTCATGTAACAGGAACCCCAAAGGACCATCTCACCTTTAGTCAAATTCAGCAGTTATTTTTCTGTGGGTCCCGCACGTCCAGTTTATCAAGCAGTCCAGGCAAGAGCAGTTTCTTGCCCATATTACTAACCAACTCCATAAGGAGCCTCTTCAATGCCCATCTTCTTCTTGAAGTAGCATGGTCCTGCCAGGAGCAGATGTGTCTCATTGTCATGAAAAGTTCTAAGTTATTAAAACATTTTAAATGCCATATTCTGAAGATCTCTGAAAGATTTGAAGAATACCTATCTAACTGAAATATATCTCTATAGATCTAGAAAATCTAACTAACATGACTACAAGCTTGACTATTATAGATGAACTATTAACTTATTTTTTCTGTTAACTTATATTTCTTAATTATACATTACATTTTTAAATGAGCTACACAAACACAATACCTTAATCAAGACCAGAAATACATATAACAAAATTGACCTTAAATTTGTATCAATAAACCAAGATCCATACCAATGCAAATTATTTATATCTATATCATATCCCCTTTTAAATGTAAACAAATATTTATAGACAATATTTGGGTATATGGGCATAGTTTTTTTCATACTGCTTCTTGCTAATTGTTGGGCGTAGTAATTTTGGGGAGGTGTTCATGGCGGCCATCAGGGGTCTTGTTCCATCAAACCACACCAGTCTGGAAGCAATCCATAGGTTCTCACCCTCTGTGGAAACAAGAAAAGAACCTCTTTTCCAAAGCAACATATCCTTAGACCCAAATTTGGAAGTCATGATACCTTTATAATATACATGCTGGTTTAGCTTAGCAGCCCATACAATGAAATGCCTCTCTGTACTTAGCTCATTCACAGTCAAAAAATTCAAAGATAACACAATAATATACATAATCCAGGCTCTCTGTGAATTTTCCATTATTACGTGGCTTATTTTCCTTTACTCGTTTTAATCTATGACTATCTGTACTGTCTTTTTAAAGACTTTACCATTTTTTTAAAGCATTAACTTTATTTTATGATTCTTTTTACTCTTTTTCTTCTCCCTTCCAAGCCTATATGCATTTATGCAACACTGTGACCCATTTAGAGGTCATTTATGTCTGAATCTATCCTATTATATATCTGTAATTTTTTACTGTCCAGGAGCACTTCTTAAAATGCTAAGCACTTCTTAAAACTCAAGCTGCACCATTACTATGGTATATACAGTACTACCTGCTTTCCTGCTCAGTCCATCATGGTGGAGCCACTCGCGCCTCTGAGAGCCATGCACGCAGCCCCATTCTCAGGTACACAGGCAGTCCATGTCACCATTAAGCTGCAGCAGTCTGCTTACAAACCTCATCCAAATATTCTGTCTCCCAAAAGAGCCAGAGGTCACACTGGCAGCAAGTCTCAGAAAGCCAGCATTTCAAAAATGTCATGGCTGAATCAGGAAAACTTCTCTTAAGGGAGGTGCGGCACACCACCAGCGGACAGCAAGAAGCTGTGTTAAATTCTGTATTTTTGTGTCTAGAATTCCTTTTCAAACTCTCTCGGGTTTTAAGTGGATTTTAGTTGGCTACATTAGTGCCAATCTGTTGGAGGAGGGGGCAAGAGGCTGCTTGTTGATTTCTGGCCACCCAACTAGCTTAGACCCGAAATAATCACACAGAAACTGTATTAATTAAATCACTGCTTGACTCATTAACTCTAGCTTCTTATTGGCTAACTCTTATATTATTTTAACCCATTTCTAGTAATCTGTATATCGCTATGTAGCTATGGCTTACCCGGTAAAGTTTCCAGCATCTGTCTCTGGTAGCTCCATGGCTTCTCTCTGATTCTGCCCTTCTTCTCCCAGAATACAGCCTAGCTTTCCCCACCTAGTTCTGTTCTGCCCTAGCCATAGGCGCAAAGAAGTTCTTTATTTATTAACCAATAAAAGCAATACATAGACAGAAGGACCTCCCACACCAATCTGCTGCAGAGAAATCATGAAGACTTGTGCTCAGTTCTTTCTGTTGCTGTGGCAGAGTATGCTGGCAAGAATTGAGGAAGGAGAAAGGAAGGAAGGAAGGAAAGAAGAAAGGAAGGAAAGAAGGAAGGAAAGATTGTTTATTTGGTTGGTTGGTTGATTGGTTGATTGGTTGGTTCTTCAAGACAGGGTTCCTTTATGTAGCCCTAGCTATTCTGAAACTCACTTTGCAGACCAGGCTGGCCACAAACTCAAAGATCTGCCTCTTCTGCCTTCTAAGGAAGGGTTTGTTTCTGCTCCTAGTTTGATGTTCTAGTGCACCAATGCCAGGGAGTCACAGCCGCAGGAGCTTTGGGAGGCAGCTGGTCACATTGCACCACAGTCAAGAAACTGGACAATAACTGCAGGAATGCTAAGTGGGCGGCTCACTCTGTCCGGTTCATATGGTTCCAGATCCCCTGCCTAGGGAATGGGGCTGCCCACAGTTGAGATGCATGTCTCCATGTCAGCAACATGATGAAGATCATCTGTCGTTAGCGTGCCCAAGGGCCCATATCCCAGGTGACTCCAGACACTGGCCATTTGTCAGCAGTAACCGTCATGAGAGTTAGCTGGCCCACTGGGAATATTCAGTTGTCTATGATCGTATGCACAAAGGGGTTGCTGCTTCCGGTGCTGGTAGCTTCTTTAAACTCTGAAGGGACAGGGTTAGTTTTGGGGTGACCCATAGTCTTAACTATCAGCCCAGTAATGGCTTTGATAACCCCTTATTCTCTCCTGCCCTTTGGGGATAGGTCTGGTAGTTTTCGCATGTAGTGAAAAATAGTATTGACTCCAAGAAAACAGATGTGGCCTGCTTCCTTCCATTTGTCTACCCAAACTCCTGGGGCTAGAAATTCATTCATTCGGTGAACAAAGATCTCTTCCACACTGCCCCCCACTACTTATTCTTCATGGTGCTTGGGGTGTCAGAGAACAAAGCAGACTAGGAGGACAGACAGCAAAGACGACAAACTGATATTCTAAATGAATCCCAGAGCAGAGGAAAGGGGGCAGGTAAGGTGGGGGTGGTGTTGAGTGGAGGAGTCAGGAGATAAACTGATGAACTGAGTCTGGGAGGGTGTGTCATGTTAGCCAAGCCGATGCCTAGGGTGCCTGGCGTTCCAGGCAGAGGGCCCAGCAGAAGCGAAGGTCACAGGAAAGGGAGTGTGCGGGGTGAGCAGAAGGAACACGGCTGGCCAGATGGTGTCAGGTCCGTCAGGCACGTGGTGGACTCCAGGTCTGTCCCTGCGTCACAAAGCTCGAGTAGCACAGTGAAGGACGGTTCCCAGGGAGGTCCCTTAGGACCAGCCTAGCTGGGGTGGGCAGTGGGGGGCGGGGGACAGGGGATTCCAGAAGAGCTGAAATAAAATAAGGAGAGTAGAAGCAGTGTGGGTTTTGATGGAATGGACACAAGGTTAGGCTTTGGACAAGGAAGACGTTAGTGACTTAAAAAAAAAAAACAACTAAGAAAAACTAGGAAAAAAAAAGATGTGATGGAGAACGCCTTTAATCTCTGGAGGCAGAGGCAGGCAGATCTCTGTGAGTTTGAGGCCAGCCTGGTCTACAGAGTGAGTTCCAGGTCATCTATGACTACATAGTTAGACCCTGTCTCAAAAAAAAAAAAAAAAGTACCATAAAGGAAAAGTAGGAGTAGGGACTGGAGAAGTGGCTCAGTAGTTAAGAACACTGACCACTGACTAAACTAGGCGGTGGTTGCACACACCCTTAAACCCAACACATGGGAGGCAGAGGCAGGAGAGTGTCTGAGTTTGAGGCCAGCCTGGTCTACAGAGGTGTTCCAGGACAGCCAGGGCTACGCAGAGGAACCCTGCTCTTCTAGAGAGCCCAAGCTTGGTTCTCAGCACCCACATGGTGGTTCACAGTGGTCTAGAACTCCAGTTCTAGGGCATCTGACACTTTCCTTCTGCCCTCCTCAAGACCAGGAGTGCACAGTACACAGACCTACGTGCAAGCAAAGCACAAC